GGGGGGGTTGTTGGATGTTGGGGGGCGCGAGTGAAATTTAGACCAACTTGGGGGGGGGCGCATGTCCTAAAAGGTTGAAAACCCCTGCTCTAGAGGGTTTTAAGTGACCAGTCTCTGCTCAGAGTATAGCAGTCTGGGGATGGTCTCCCCTGCTAGGGTCTTAAGTAGATAGCCCACTCTCTGTGATCTGGGCAGCTTTGCAGGAAGGTTCACCTGTCTATCTAGTAACGGTAGCCTATTCGTTTTTGGTCCGGTCGGGAAGCCCCTTCCTAGGTATCCGAGTTATCTGAGGATAGCTATGTGCTAGCTCAGTGACTGCTCCTCTTCTTAGGGTTTTTAAGCAGCCGTCTCCCTGAGCTCTTGCCTAGACAGTGCTTCTCCTTTGCTGGGTTTTAAGTAGATAGCCATCCCCTTGGTCTGGGCAGCTTTTAGGAAGGTTCATTTCATAAGACCCTTTAGATATAGTTATCTGCGGATAGCTGTGTTCTAGCTGGGATTGTTAGTAGCAATCTTTCAGCTCCTCCAGGCTTGCAGCCTCTTATGTATCCTGGCTACTATTGCTCAGATAGCATAGCTATCTGGGGATGGTTGTGTTCCTATCTTGGTAAGGGTGTTTCCCCCCTTATCTGGAATCAGGCTCCCTCGTTTTTACCAAGTTATGTGAGCAGCCCGAGGCGTCAGGGGCTTGGCCCCTTTCTGAGGAATGGTTTGGTATATGTCTGTCACCACCAGGTGGACAGGCATGCGCTTCGGCATGGTGTGATTGGATATCATTCCCCAAAGTGTCCCCAAGAGGGGGACGCAGCGTCTCGTTCCCTCTCGGGTTACTCATGGTACCATGGTTCCCCAAGAGGGAACGAGATGCTGCGTCCCCTCGCCATGCCTTCGGCCTGCCTGTTTGCATGTGCTCAAACAACTTAGTTAGTGACGCATTCTGCAGGTGCCCTTTTATACTTTTTGGGTATGACATCACGGGCCACATGGACCAATAGGATTGTAGTTGTTTTATACGTGCTTCAGACACCGGTCATGCTGGCAGCATTCCCCAAAGTGCCCCATAGAGGGGGACGCAGCATCTCGTTCCCTCTCGGGGAACCATGGTTACATGAGTAACCGGAGACATTCACAATGGTTGTCGGTCGTAGGCAGCGTGTCGATATGTAGTACCATTGTGCTTCCGGCGTCCTGAGTTCAAGACTTTCGAGATTCGCGATCACACTCTATACTATGGAGCGGCAGTACTTACCACACATTTGACAAGATTAGATGTTTGTCATTGGTACTCAGGATCTGCAAATCATTCACCATCGTCCTATCAGACATTTCTCCTTACTCTGTGTTTGTGGAAAGCGGCTAACCTTTTAGTGGCTCCATAGAACACGTTATTTGTTT